GTAAAAAAAAATTGTAATAACATTAAAAAAATAATGTTTAAACGTATGCAATGAAATAGTGAATCTTTTTAATTTTACTTCTATTGTACTAACCTTGTTTTTCGTAAGTATACTTTCAATATCAATAAATCGTAAATAAACTGCAATTCCAGTAAAAGAAGAATGGTTTTTGTGCGCGAAACAGAGTACAGACACAAGTCACGGAAGGTCAACGGCCTATCCGCCCCTCCCCCTTCCACCGCCACTTCACCTTTTACACCTACCTGAAATTATTAATCGTTTTAACGTGAGCAATAAAATAGTTAATCAAGTGTCATGCCTATTGTACTAAGCTTGTTTGTTTGTACGTATACTATAATTATCGATGAATAAATGGTAACAGATAAACTACATGCCGGTAGCCGGTAGCAGTGGTGGGGTGGGATATTTGCGCGCCAAACAGACGTGAGTCACCGGACGTTCCGCGTTCAACCGCCCATCGACGACACCCTCCTCCTCTACCCCGTCTCCCACACTACGCACACTACGCTGGTGTTAATTATTGTGCCTGTGTGTTTTCATGATTTTCGTACTCCTTGGTGTCTCATGAATGTTATTTTATGTCAAAACAAACTAAACTGATCGTTTTTCGCCCCGAAAAGAAAAATAAAAAGTGCGGATAAGCCACGTCATGTGAGTGAAGGTGTTGTCAGTGGTGAGAAAAGACGGTGCTTTGACAACAATGTGTGCTCCACTTCTGCCTCTGGCTCGACTACAACTACCCCCGAGACTGCTTGGATGCAACTGCTGCTGATGCCACCCCCTGCCTGGATGAAACCGGTTCCGGTGCCACCCCGTGCCTGAATGAAACCGGTTCCGGTGCCACCTCGTGCCTGGATGAAACCGGTTCCCGTGCCGCCCCCTGCCTGGATGAAACTGCTGCGAGTACCACCCCCTGCCTGGATGAAACTGCAGCCAAATTCGCTACAACCTCTTCATCAACTATATGCAAGGGCCACTTTAATGACGTATCCAATTTCGTAAGTAAAACATTGAACGATTGTGATAGATTATAATTGTTAAATAACCCATGGATACCACCAAAAACATACATGTTTCCTCTAATTGACAAGTTCAAAGATAAAAAACTGAAGCTGAGGTTCCATCGTCAATGGCTGGATAGATATGAATGGTTGGTGTATTCAGAAAACGAACAGGGTGCTTATTGTAAGTACTGTGTTGCGTTTGCACATTCTAGAGGTGTTGGAAGCCAGCCTCTAGGTCAGTTGGTGAAAAAAATTCGACAATTGGAAACACGCAACTGAAATCTTCAGGCAGCACAGTACCACCAAGTACCATGGCGACAGCGTGTCAAAAGCACTTGACTTCAAGAATTTACAAAGCAACAAATGCCAATCCATTATCAATCAAATCGACAAAAACAGAGAAAAACAAATCAAACAAAACCGGAAAAACCTTAAACCTGTTATTAAAGCTGTTATGTTGTGTGGCCGCCAAGAAATAGCATTGAGGGGTCACAGAGATAGTGACTAGATAGTTCTAATGAAGGAAACTTTAGAGAAATCCTAAAATATAGGGCTGTCGGTGATGTTGACTTACGTGAAATGCTGGAAGGAAAATGAGAAAGGAACAAATATATAAGTCCAACAATTCAGAACGAAATAATTGAATGCTGTAATAAAGTCATTTTGACTAAAATCGTAACTCAAATAAATGAAGCCAAATGTTTTACAGTATTATCGGACGAAACGACAGACGTTTTAACCAGTGAACAAGTTGCTATTTGTGTCAGGTATATTAACCAACATAAAAGCTGAATCACTTAAAGGACGAGATTTAGCAAAAACAATTATTGATGGGTTGAAATCTTGTGGAGTTGACTGCGAATATATGATAGGGCAAGGGTATGATGGTGCCGGTAGTATAGCGGGCAAATTTAACGGTGTCCAAGCTGTGATTAGGGAAAAGTATCCTAAAGCAATATATGTGCATTGTGCCGCACATTCGTTGAATTTAGCTGTAACCAAGGCTAGTGAAGTACAATCCATAAGAAATTGTTTAGGTACAGTAGAAAAAATGTACTTATTTTTTTAACACACCGAAGAGGAAATCTGCGTTGTTAGATGCCGTTGAAAGCAGCAGTGAAACGCCTCACGCCCGCTCACTAAAGAGACTTAATGCCACTAGATGGATATCCAAATACGACGCAATCAATGATTTTTCAGAGCTGTTGCCTTTTGTCAACGAAGCCCTGGAAACTATGTGTTCGTGGAACGACTCTACATCGTCTGAGGCAAAGATTTTGAGTAATGCAATGGACATTGAATTCATTGTTTCTTTATTCATTATACGCGAGGTATTCGGGTATGGTCTGCCACTATGCAGGCTATACCAGAGGGAAGATTTAGATTTAAAGGAGTGTGTGCTGAGTGCTGAGTGTGCTATTCAAGAATTGAAAGACCTTAGATCACAATCTGAAGCAAAATTTAAAGACATCTACAACAAGGCAAAGTCTGTTGGAAATGAATTGGGAATCGTAGAAAAGGCGCAAAGAATCACAGCCCGACAGCGTAACAGGACTAACGTAGTCACTAGCTCCTTGGAGGAATATTACCGTATTAGCATATTTATTCCATATATCGATTATTTCATTCAACAACTTGAGGAAAGATTCGTCAACCCCGAGCGTGTTTTCAACGCGTTTATGTGTCTGTTCGAAACCATTGAAACCAACGAATCAGAGGAAGAACTATATAATAGCCTAACCGAGTTTTATGCTCCTTTGGTTGAGCTAAACTCCTATTCAGAGTTGAGGATGTGAAAATCTCGGGTAAAAAAGGAAAACCTTTCATTCAAAACCGCTTATCAAGCATTTTAAAGTGCGACAAGGTAGTTTTCCCAAATGTGTACAAACTACTTCAAATTTTGTGCACATTACCGGTATCTACAGCTACTCCTGAAAGAATGTTTTCGGCGTTGAAAAGAATTAAAACTTACTTAAGAAATACAACTGGACAGGGTAGACTTAATGGCCTTGCTTCGCTGGCAGTGCATAAGAACGTACCGTTATCGCCAGATGAAGTTATGGATGAGTTGGCGAAGAAACCGAGAACCGAGAAGAATTATTCTGAAGTAAATCAAAAGAGTTTACACAATCGAAAACGTGTTAACGTGATATCTTATTTTCAGATTTTGATTTTTTCTACACTACAATTGAATGTTTTAGGCCTAAAAATGTTAGAAACACATTTTTATGCTTTGTAACTTATACAAATGATGATACCAAAATTATTTAATTTTAGAATCGATGTAAATGTATTTATCTTTATTTTGACTAAATGTTACAAGTAATTTGAACTATAGTTAATAGGCTACCGTTATTTCAATGGCGGGTATTAAATTCTTAAAATACAGCTTAACCCTACAATGCATGACCCTGGGTCATACATGTCCCATCCAAAAAAATCATTATTTTAGAAAATAAAAACCTAACTTCTATGTCTTATTTCATGTTGGTCCACATCTGGCACATCTACAGTCTACTTTAGTTCGCCTATTGGCCTACAGGTGGCAACACTATGCAGCTTGACTCCATTATTGTCAGTCTAGACCACATGGTTGTCAAGGCAGCAGTTTTGTTGTGATTTTTAGGTTATAAAACTGAATACAAGTGGTTCCAGGCCTTCATGAAAATAACTGCCATCAAGAATAAGGTATGTAGATGTTACTGTATGCATTAGTTCATAAGTTATTAATTTTTCCTTTGATTTAATTGACATTTTAGGGTTGGTCCACATTTGACCCATTATGCACGTAGTGCAGAAACAGCCTATTTCTGTTTGGGTCATATATGGCCCTTCATGCAGTAATGTCAACACAATTTATTTTATAAATCCTAACAGATACAAACATATGGAAGCTTCAAATTTCCAATTATTGTGTCCTTATATAAAGTTTATATTTCCGAAAAATAAATAGGTAAGTTTGTTGTATTTTGTAATATTATTTGTGTTTTTTTTTTTTTTTTTTGTCTAACTGATTTGTTTTCTTTGCAGTGACATGTATCGTTCATCTATTTCTGAAGATGACGTACTAGAGGTTCTCTTTCCATCAGACCTAAGTGAGGACTGTGACGATGTTGACGCTGACCCTGATTTTGTGCCAGGCAGCAGTGATGATGAAGAATGTACTATTCGGAAGAGGAAACGTAATGTATTACCAGTTTTTTCTAAATCCGATCCTTCCTTGGAACCTTCATATTCTTCTGATGAAGATGATACTACAACTTCAAAGCCTGTCAAGCCGCCTCCAACAAATGATCCGGTTCCATTCAATGCTCAGGCCAAAAGTGAAGTTTTTGGCCCAACTCCATCAACATCTAGTCAATCTGAAGCACAGGTTAATGCTCTCCAAAAAACTAATGAGAGGTGCAATACTTCATTGCCATCAACATCATTTGTAGACCCTGCAACATTCTATAACACTCCTGACTCATCAGTTGATGTTTGTGGCAACAAGGTCAAAGTTTCAATCTGACAAGAAACAAAACAAAGAAACAAAAAAGAAAAAAACCTGTTGTGAAGAAAAGTGTTACAGGTAAAAAAAGAAGTCAAATGAAAACCAAAAGCCCGAAAGCGTCTAAAGAGAAAGATATCAATAAAAAAAAGAAAACTAAGCCACAACTTCCCTGGGAACTTGCTTCTATATTGCCCAAATCAATACCTTTTGATTCAGCAAATGAAAAGCTTTCTGATGACATCGTAAATTTAGACACTACATATCAGTTCTTTACATACTTTTTCACAGAAGAGCTTATTGCAAAAATATTGCATGAGACGCAACTTTTTTGTATTCAGAGGGACCCTAACTCAAAACTTGCATTAACCCTTACTGATATACAAAGGTTCTTAGGGATTTGTATATTGATGTCGATTATCCGACTTCCAAATGTGCGCTGTTATTGGAAAGAAACAATTGGAAATCCTATAATAGTTGAAACAATGAGTGTGAATCGTTTCGAATCAATCAGACAAAATCTTCACTTCAATGACAACAGTGCTATGGTGCCAAGAGGGGAACCAGGTCACGATCGGCTACACAAACTTAGACCAATTGTTGATGCACTTCAGTCAAGGTTCCAGACAATTCCTTACGAACAAATGTTGTGTGTCGATGAACAGTTGTGTGCAACCAAAGCGCATCACTATAACAAGCAATATATGCCCAAAAAGCCTCATAAATGGGGCTACAAACTTTATGTATTAAGTGGGGTTAGTGGCTTTGCATACAACTTTGAGATTTACTCAGGGCAAGAGAATGACCCAGATTGTAGGCTTCCTGGAGAACCTGATTTGGGCTCATGTGCAAATGTTGTAGTACGCCTTGTTCGTAATGTTCCTCCAAACCATCATCAACTATATTTTGATAATTTCTACACGACACTACCACTAATGGTACACTTGGAAAAAAGAAATATTCACGCCCTTGGCACTGCACGAAGAGACAGACTACAAAATGAGAAGCTTCCATCAATGGATGAGCTAAAAGAATGCCCAAGAGGATTCTCTGCCGAAACATGCTTGAAGATAGATGAAGTTGAAGTTACTTCTGTGTTGTGGAAAGACAATAAATGTGTTACTCTTGTCTCCACGTATGCAGGAATTGGGAAACAGACAAAGGTGGCACGCTATGACAAAAAGAAGAAAGTCAGTCAAGAAGTTGACTGCCCCCATGTTGTAAAACTGTACAATAAACACATGGGTGGCGTGGATAAAATAAACTCCATCATAGGTCGCTACAAAATCAAAATGAGAACCAGAAAGTGGTATTTGCGGCTTTTCTATCACCTTATTGATGTTACCATGTGCAACAGTTGGTTGCTGTACGTTAGGGCGTGTGCCCAGAAAGGAGAAAATTATGTAATGCACCTTGCAGAGTTCAGGGAAGAGGTTGCCATCACTCTTTGTAAACTGGGGAACTCTACCACTCCAAAGAGGGGAAGACCCAGTAATGAACTGGAGAATGTGCTCAGGCTAAAGAAAAGGAAGCCCAATGTTTCGTACATACCACCAAAGGAAGTTAGAAAGGACGAAGTTGGACATTGGCCCGTGTGGTCTGAGACCAGGCTCAGATGCAAACTTCCAAGATGCAGCAGTAAAACTTTCATTACCTGTGAAAAATGCAAACTGTAACTGTGCCTTAACAAGGACAAGAATTGCTTCAAACTATTTCATTCAGTTTGAATTTCAACCAAGAGACTAAAGCAATGACATTCTGTCACTTGTTTGAAGTGTTTTATTTCAAAGAATTTCATGTATAATTTAATTTACAGGTTTTATATGTAAATTGACATGAAACTTAATTCTGTAAGTTGAAATAAAAATATTTACAGTAAATGCATATTGGGCTATTTATGACCCACTCCTATTTTTCTCAATTTAAACACTAGTGCATGTTGTGCCAAATTTGACCCAACTAATAAAATCTAAAAAAAAAAACACATAAAATACAAAAGAAAATTTTTTAAAACTATTTTTCCATAAGTTAGTACCACATTGCCTACCTTGTGGAATTTTTTTTGAAATTGAAATAAAAAAATCATAAATTGTAGGGTTAACACTACAAAGAATTTGCATTTCATCGTATTTTTTAAAATTCTTGTAAATTAAAGATTTCCCCCAAAATTGTGAGTTAACTAATGTAATCTATTAGTGTTTATATCTAACGTGTTTTCTTGGTTGTTTTGAGGTTTTGATTTTTTTCTACGCAACAATTGAATGTTTTAGGCCTAAAAATGTAAGGAACATATCTTTATGCTTTTCGTAACATATACCAAAGATAATACCAAGAATTACTTTCAGAATACTGTGTTAGTATTAAACATGATGTCTTACGATGTAAATGAATGTATCTTTATTTTGAATAAATTTTAAAAGTCATTTAAACTATACTTATAATAGGCTAACGTTATTTTAAAAGCTGGTATTAAATTGTTAAATTACAGTAAAACACAACAAAGAATTAGCATTTTATAGTATTTTTAAAATTATTGTAAATTAAAATGTTGCCCCAGAATTGTGAGTTAACTTTGGTAATCTATTAGTTATTGAATTATGTATTCTTTATTCATTACAAATGTTCCATTAAAACATGTTTTTAGTTTATTCTAAATCAGAGCTGAGCTATGTCAATTTATTTCTGTTGTAATAAAAGTATCTATTAATTAATGAGAGTTTGTCATTATTTATAACTGTTTCATCGCTTAGAAATTTTAAAACAACAATAAAAAATAACACATAAATTATTAAATTATTTGCAAGCTTAGATAGACTACCTAAATATGGCTTTGGTGGGCTACTATACAAATTATTATACTCCATTGATATTTTTTTTCAATTACTAAGCTTATACAGTGTTAGCTGTTTTAATAACTACTCGGCATAGAGACAGAATTAGCACACGAAACTAATTAAAGCAAAGACGCAAAAAAAATGAAAATGCAGTTTACATAAACTTAAGATGATTGGGATCGAGCAGCGACCACTGACCACAGACAGAACTTGAGGAAGGTTCCCATCTTTTAATTAATTGGTTCTATTATTCTATATTTAGACTCCCTTGTGTCACTCCACTCTAAACATTTCTGTCTTTCACGTCATGTGTTATTGCAGTCAATTTCAGCCCCCCCCCACCGACCAACCCCACCCTTTGGACCCAACCCCTCCCCTCCACCATATCTAGTAAAAGTATGGTCGTCGAGACCCGAGGTGAGAGAACACTAAACGGCAGAAGAGGTTCGGCCCCCAGTCCGGTGGACGGGGTTTAGGCTCTCTGTACTAAAATATCACTATATCTTTTTAAAAGTACTAATCTAGGCTTTTCGTTATATGATAACATTTAACGTTATGTTTCTCTATCCTTTAACACTGAATATTTTGATAGGCCAACAGTCACGTTAACATATTAATCAAAATATTCAGTGTTAAAGGAAAGAGAAACATAACGTTAAATGTTATCATATAACGAAAACCCTAGATTAGTACTTTAAACATAAATTTAATAAAAAACTAGTCCACCTGAAATTAAAGGAAAAAGTTTATTTCATAAGTACAAAATTGCATAACATTTTATTAAATATTAACACCAGATTTCACTTCCTAAACGCTTAAAAATAGTGTTTGGAGAAGTTATTTTTATCAAATTTTCCGGGGGAGGAAAATTTTCCGGAGGCTCTCTTGAAGGGGGGTATCCAGACCCCCCGTATCCCCCCCTGACTATCTACGCCACTGAGGCCTCCTGCTAAAAAGTTGAGAAACAAAAAAAATCTTTATTATTGTAATACCTGCCACATGTTAATACCTGTCATTTTGAAAGCGGATTATCACCGTTTTTATGATGAGCTCCCGAATTTAATCAACTAGCCTAAGTTAATACCTGGTCATGGAAATGTATTGCTAGTAATAAGTACAGAGTACCGATAATTAGTGTATTCATGTCAATCATTGTTATTTTTTTTCACTATACTTCTTATTACTTACGTAAAATATTACTGTAGTACACAGAATTTATGTAATACATATAATTGAAATATTTTTTAATTAAAATATTTTTTCAATTGGTTTTTATTTATTATTTGTACATCCTATCACTGCTACTTTTATTACAACATAACCACGTATCTCCAGTGCAATCGATGGGAAAACCTCGTAGCTCCTTTATAAATTACCAGAAATAAATTGAAATATGTTTAAGTTTGTTAACAACCTAGCAACATACTATATTTAATGTTATTATAATTTCCGACCACTATATCTATAACAGTAAATATATAAAACAGTTTTTTTCCTTCTCCTGAAAAGTTTGCCATTTATGAGTTACGAAGTTTGCAAATTGAGGTAGCGATATGATAAACATAAGTCTAATAAAGGTTAAGCAAACCGGCATGCTGATGAAACGCTGAAACGAGCTCGAGTAGAGGTTGTAAAGGCCTATTCAGAGCTAAATGGACTTGGCTTGAAAAAACTAACTCCCATAGATATAGCTGTAAGATAGTTCACTTCAAAATATGGAGTTGGTTGCGTAATCGAAATGATAAAAGGCCTCGTTATCGATTATGAGGTTTTATCTAAATATTGTAGAATCTGTGAAAGGAAAAAGACTGAATTGGGTGAAGATTCTGATGAATATTAAGAGTGGTTTATAGAGAATCAGCCTACGTGTCATGCTAATTATGAAGGATCATCACCAGTAATGGAGGTCGAATGGGCGGAGCAGATTTGGCGGCGTTATGAAGCTGCAGGGTTCCGTTTCACTATCGTAATATCGGACGGGTATTCAAAGTAAACAACCGCTTAGTACAAGTGAATGTTTATGGAGCTGATGTTTTAATAGAAAAGAAATAGTGTATTAATCATGTAGCCAAACGACTAGGGGCAGCTATTCGAACCCTTGTACAAAAAAATAAAAAATTCGTTGGATGGCAAGGCCTTCAGAAGTTAAAAGTCTACTATAGATAAGCTATGCAAGAACTATAGGAATTCTGTGGTAAATAAGCTGCTACAGTGTCGTAGGAATGGGAAAAAACTATCTTTGACACAGGATCACAGTCAGTCTACTGACGACAACCCAAAACACGACAACTACCCTCCTGGTAAAGAAAGTTGGCGTTTTTATCAACGAAATAGCCTATGTCCAATAGTTCAGAGCCTAGGTAACATTCAGTTGGTATACAAACTCCACTAAATAGCTTGGTTGTTCAGCACTAGAAGCCGATTTACAAACACCTTACTTTATATGAGTTACTGAAACGCTCATCCAAAGGAAACAATCAAAACGCTAATGAAGCGTTGCATGGCGTTATTTGGCGTTAAGTGTCCAAAAACCACATTCTCGTAAAAACTAAGGAATAGAGGCAGGGATTGCTGAGGGAATCTGTTTCAGTTGACTAAGGAGTTGAAGAGCAATATAATATCTCAGGATTTGAATCTTAAGAAAGAAACGTGGCATTCAATAAGAAAAAGGATTCATCGAGCACAACCATACATGGCATTACAAGGCAGCAAATACCACTTCACCCAGAACTGAGGACAAGGATCACTCAACTTGTTGAAAACGGTTTCAAGTCTGTCCACGCAATAAAACTGCACTTAAAAGAGAAAGTCAGGGATATTTTCAAAGGAGAGCAAGGTTCAGACAACTTAAATAGTGCGTTTTATGCAAACGACAAAGTGATTTATACTTATGTTTACAACACTTTGCTTGAACTGAAAGGAAGCAAATACGACCAGAAAGCACTGGAAACAATATAAACATTTGGAGAAAATCTAATGATTCAGACAAACTTTATTTTAGAAAATTCAAAGTTGAAGAAGATAAAACCACTCCCCATCTCTTCTGCCATCAGACTTCCATGCAAAAAAAGTTAATGGAGCTTTATGGGAACAACACTTTCCTTCTTGATGCAACATACAAAACAATAAAGTATTCCCTTCCTCTCTTTTTAATCGTAGTGTGACGATGGGTCCAATTTTCCCATCGTCGAAACAAATTACGCACAATAACTCCCTGACTGTGACACCCTGTTCCCTGTGTGGAGAGAGGAGGCAGCACCGGGTTAGCGCCGGAGGCGAGACACAGAGTGTGTGTTGCGTGGCCGGAGTGCGGAGTTGACGACAAGCGCGGGTCGCTGCACGGGGGACGACGTCGGGAAGAAGATGACATCCTGAGACCGCTAGACTACGGCAACCCCAGGACAGGAGAAGAGAGAGACGAGATGGGCGAGGCGACATCAAGAGGGCTCGTTGTCGTGTAGGCCGAGGTCGTTCAGAGTGTGTAACCAGGGCCATCTATGGGAGGACGAGCTCCAGGGACTAAAAGGGAAATAAAAGGAATGTTGAGGTAAGTTTTGTATTTTTGTATTTATTTTGGGCTACACCCCCCCCCCCGTTACTACCCCTTGGGACGAGGGGTACGTGACAAGTTTGTTGGAGGCAACCGGGTATACCCTGAGGTGGTAATCTACGTCGAGTAACTACTCCTAGTCTGGTAATGTATTAGTAAATAGATTATTGACCGCTTTGTTGCTGGGTACAGTTATGCAAGTGGCGTTTGTCACCCCTGTGTTTTAATAAAACGTAACATATAACGAATAAACGTAAAGTAGTGTTGTGTTTGATGAGACTTGATTAATAAC